TATATATATATATATATAAAGGTACTGTTAAGTTCATTACTATTGAAAAATATCAAATTTGAAGCCTTGTAATTGCAGAATAAACATACCTTGTATCTACAGTGATCAGACTTTAAGTTTACATTCTGAGTTTAAGGCTATAATTGAGCTATAAACCTTTGATATTGCGTAATGACCTTATTGTCTTCTTCCCTTAAATCTGAAAAACCAGAAAGCCATATCAGTTCAGTATTTGTCAGCATCATTACATCCCTCTACGTAGAAGTCTCAACAGTCTTTTGTGAGTGTCTGTATTTGTGGTTCTTGACAGGTGCTGAACCGTTGTGCCAGTGCGAACTGGTCAGAAAGGAAGGAGGGGCTATTGGGCCTACAGGCCCTGCTCAAGAACCAACGCACCCTCAGGTCAGCCACAGAACGGGCAGAAGTGTTTTCAAAAGATAAATCCATTCTTTTTTTCATCTAACTGTTGTTGTTTTTGATCTGCAGTCGGGTAGAGCTGAAGCGGCTATGTGAAATCTTCACCAGGATGTTTGCTGACCCTCACAGTAAGGTATGAGTGCATGCAGCGCAAGTACTCACACAAAGACGCACAGCACTCATTCACAGTGTCATTTCAAATAGGTTCATTATTCATTCACTCTTATTTTGTTCTAAATATTTGGGTTATCCCATCATCCCTTACTGTACCGGATTCTGCCAAAACAAAGACAAGGATCTATTTGTTAATACACACAGACACAATGTAATCATTTGCACACATTTATAGATAAAGACAGGATAAACAGGTCACAATATGTACACACATGGATGTACACACATGGATATACACACTCAAACATCAACACAGGCATGCAGAGTGTGCGACGGACTGTTTTCTAACGGCATGCCACGCCTGAGTGTTGCGTGTGACCTCACTCTCTCCGCCCGTCCTGTGGGACTGCTCTGTCACTGTCCAGCCGCCAATCCGCTGGCTGTGCTCGCTGCATTCACTGCCACTCGCTCTCTTTCCCCTCCCTCCCTGCAGTCTGAGGCGACAACACTGACCGCACACACACACACACTCAGATGCACTGAAATACACACAAAGATGTTTGGGCTGCCAGTTCTTCTCTCTGACTAACCAGCTGCGGTTCGCCCTCTCTAACACTGCCACTTTTCTTTGGCCGTTTTTTGAGTGCCCGCTGCCTCACACATGTCGTAAGGTGTGCGAGCCCCCTCCCTCCCCACCCCTTTCCTCTCGTTTGACGTTTGACGATTTGATGAATTTCAGCGAGACTCCGGCAGGGTGTACGGCACAGCAGAATCCGGTATAAGCTCAGCCTCCTTCAAGGTACTGCATCTCACCATGGATTCCGCCTTCATCTGTCTATCCCACACCACTCCCACCTTTTATCTTCCATGTTTTTCAGTTTCTCTCTCAGGTCTCTCTAGTGTGCACAAAACATCACTTCACATTTTTAAAGATGTTGTCGCTCTTATGTGTTTGACTCTGTTGCCATTTTGCAAATGTTGGATTCAAAGTGCAGGTTGAAAGTCAAGATTGTGTGCAAAGACTCACTGAGTACATTTGGGTATTCTTTGTCAGGACGCTAACAGATATGTCTTTCTCTCCCCCATGCCACCCCACCCTGGAACTCTCTGTAGAGAGTAAGTCTGGCCAATCAGTGTTACTGTGTTTAAATGTTTGGATGAATATCTGCTTCATTAATCTGATTGGATAACCATTTATTGGGGCAACAACATAACTATCACTCACTAACCTACCTCACATATTATTGCCTGTAACTACTTATCCTGCTGAAATCAACCACTGGCATGTAGAGATGGTTACCACGGACTCTGATTGGTGTTTCTTGCGAGTAACTATCACTGTGGTTGTCTTCAAATTAATATTAATATTAATTGGGGTAATTTTAAGTTTAATTGGTGATTGGGAATGAAGGTGGGCTCCTGCAATGATGAATGAATAACAACTAACTTCACACGTTACTTCTTCAGTATAACCTTTACCCTGTAAACGCTGGACTTCCTGTATGCATGCGTGTGTGCATGAAACATGAGAATTGTGTAGTGTCTGAGTGACTGTGTGACCCACAAAGCATCTGTATGTGTGTTTAGGTGTTCAGTATGTTCCTGGAGACACTGGTAGATTTCATCTTGGTCCATAAAGAAGATCTGCAGGACTGGTTGTTCGTCCTGCTCACACAGCTGCTGAAGAAGATGGGAGCTGACCTGCTGGGCTCCGTACAGGCCAAAGTGCAGAGAGCCCTGGATATCACACGGTGGGTGTCACACTTGCGTACTGAAGTAGTTGACCCGTGGGTGTTATATTTGAGCATAGAACTTCACTTTTGACCTTTTGCAATAGGATCTGTAACAGAATAATTTAGGCTCCACTTTCTAGCTGATGAGATGTTTGAAAGCTCTAAAAGGCATTATTTGTAATTATTATTATTATTTGATTATTTGTTATACATACATATAAAAGATTAGACAGTTCTCTGATGATCAATTCTGCCTTCTCTCTCTCGTTTTTACACAAACACAATTGGTAGTCTTTACCAGAGAAAATATGACGATAAAAAGCATCGTTTTACCTCTGACCTATGCTGTAATTTATCTTAAAGACACCTGGCAGAGATCCTTTCACTCTTAAAATGTTCTTCTGTGTGTGCTGGAAGTTTAATGTGGATTTCTTTTTTTCTCTAACAGAGAGTCTTTCCCCAATGACCTGCAGTTTACTATTCTCATGAGGTTCACTGTGGACCAGACACAGACGCCCAACCTAAAGGTAAATAACATGTTCATTTAATGTTAGTGTGTGTGTGTGTGTGTTTATATAAGAAGGAGAGCCGAGTGTGTGCAAGTCTCAGTAAGGGGAGGAGGATGGACATAAGGCTGGAAACTCTGGGACTGTGTAACCATGGTAACTGCTGTACTGACATGACCTCATGCCTGCCCATGCTGGAGCTGCCTCACAAAACCCCACAAAACCCTGAATCCTGGGCTGTGATTGGATAGCGATTGATGTAGCCACTCCACTGGCTTTTTTTTTTTTTTTTGCTCTGCTACAGTGTGGACACTCCCTTCAAGCTTTCCTTCTCTAACTCCTTATCCATCGTCTCGTACTTTCCTCCTACCTGTCTCACCAACCCTTCTGTTAGAGCAACTTCTTGCCTCACCAGTGTCACGTACACCCTCCTTTCCTTCCATCTTTATTTCCTCTACTTTATCCCTCACTCCTCACTCTCCTTACCCCTTTATCTTTCTGTCGCACTGCCCCCTCCCACACCCTGTCCTGCCCGATGTTTCACCCCATTCTAACAACTTTCTCACAGTCAGTCTGCCTTCCAACTAGGCTTGGGCAATGAAGGATATTATCTGCACCGAAATTTCACCCTCCTGGCCTAAATGTAAATTTCCTCAAGATTATTCTCGCTTTTCATTTGACTTGGCAAAGTTTCCCTGCTGTTAGCATAGATTATTCTTGCTGTCAGGTGTTGTTTTTGTAGATTAAATTTCATGCAGTAAGACCACATAAAGAATGGAACGGGGACCTACTCTGTGGCCTGAAGAAACTCTTTATAGTCCAAAAACATTGTTCTCATACTTCTCCTCAGAGCTCACATAACAGGCTAGGGAAGGGCAATATGACAATATAAACCTTAAGACAGTCTAAATATATTTGTACGTGATGAAGTACAGGGTTTTTCTGATATTTAATTCACTGAACTTGCCAAAAAACAGAAAAAATATCAATACCTCAATTGCAAATAGTCTAAAGATACTGCCTGAGGTGGATGCAAGATGCACTTTACTTTTAACCAATATAAAAATGTGTAGACATTAGCAGTCATTATCCACCTTTAAAAACTGTTGCATGAAGCTTCATAAACCACTGATTTATGTTGGTTAACAAGACATCACAGCTCTTTGCTGCCATCATGTGGCCTAAACGATCATATTTTGTATTACCAGATTTTCAGAATAATATCATAAATTTTCAATCGCCCAAACCGACTCCTAAACTCTCTGCACCCTCCTTCCTCTTCCTTCTCCTTTCTTGTCTCCCCCTGCCCTCCCCTGTCCCCGTCTCCCTTTCTTTCTCCGTTGTTTGACGCGGTGCTTCTCCTCTCTCTCTCTGAAGCCTGTACGGAGCTCGTGTTGCGGGCGAGGGCGAGGCAGGGGAGGGTCCGGGGTAAAATTGTTCCCCCCCAGAGCGCGGCGCCACGCCTGCTCTCTAGACGAGCAGGCCGCAGCCTGGAGCCAGTCCTCCCAGGTCAGTGCGCTCCGGGGGGAGCAATTATATGGCGCGCACGATGCTGCTAAGTGATTTGGAGGAAGTTCTGGTCCTTGAGGTGCATATGTAGGGAAATGGAGGAAATTCAGGGCAGGAATCAGTTGTTGTGGCGTTTCGGAGCCTGCGGTGAATGTTAGCATTTATTGGTTTATTGTTTTGTCATTCGTCATCTCTTTTCTTTTTGATTGTTTTGATTTTATAAAGCATGACCATGAATGCACTTTGATCTTCTCTCACTGATTCATCGGACCATTTGATTTTCAGACCTTCAGGAGATGCACAATCTGCTGTGGTTGTACATGCTGACTGTGAACATTGGTGGTCACTTTTTCACGTGTGTGTGTGTTTTGTAGTTTTGTTTATTACCATATTTATGTTTTTGCAGGTGAATATTGGCCATGCGGT